AAACTATTATTACAAACTTTACTTAAAAAAATTTTTTTTATATATTAAATAATAAATATTAATTATTTTACTAAATATCATCTATGCATAGCGTGGAGGCTAAAATAAAAATGGGTCATTGCATCTAAGTCTTGCAGTTTAACTTTTATATGTCAGGTTATAAAAATGCAGCTCTCAACTCGAGAGTTGAGTTACTAATCCCACTGCGTCAATTGTAAACATGTAAAAAAAATATATATATAATAAAATAAAAATGAGTCATTGTGTTGCCGTACCATACTTTCGTGCGGTCATAACACAGGTGGTAAATGGTAGTAGAACTGTAGAACACAGTCCCTCGCCCATGTAGGCAGGTGGCTAATCTCACCGGGCCTCATTGGATCAGCTGGACAATTCCTTAAGGGCGTGTTTGGATGCCCCACCCTGGAATGTGTTTTTGGAAAAACAATTAATATTTTCAAGTTGGTTTGGTTCGTGAAGTTAAATTTTAAAGTACATAAATTTAGATAAACTGTAATTTTCTTCTTTTTTTTTCTTGGTAATTAAGATAGATTGTAGTTGGTTACAAAAGAGATAAAGTATCTTTATTTAAACTTATTTAATTGGACTCGTTTATTAAGTTTACAATAAAAATAAAGTATTTTAAAATAAAGATTAATAATCAATTATTTGTGTTTTTTAATTAATTATTTTCTTTCCAAGCAATTATAACCAACTTCACAGGCATATAATCAGTTCATGCAAACCCAAGCCTTAGCCTAGATGGTTACCAAAAAAATCACTATTCACTTGGTTAGGTCTCAAGTTCCTTTGTACCTTAATTTTCTCTTTCTCAAAATAGAAAAATCTTATAGTTAGCCAAACTGTAAAGTCCCTTTATAGTCTACCCTTTCCATCTTGATTCAACATTAGAAATATATTGATTTTTCACCAATAGCAAAATACCTAATTTCGCCCTACCTATATCTCTATGCCCTTTTTGAAAAAATAATAATAATAATAATAAAGGTTATGCAAAATTGCAACCAGAATTCCTTTGTACCCATAAAGGAAAATGGCAAGTTGCCAAAGGTCTCCTTTTTTGCCACAACGGGCCTAACCGCTCATTTAATTGTCAATAAAAACAAGGTGGAAAGGGAACGTTTGGACCAAGCCTATATAATCATTGTGAAATTACCGTCTATAACTAGGAAAGGACAATAAGGTGTACCAATGTTGGCCGAAAAAAAGAGCTGCAACCAATCGTCCCAAATTTGCCTTGTGATCCTTGTGAGTTGCTTTCACTTGTAACTTCTTCCTGTGTGTGATATATATTCCTTTACATTCAATTAATGAAATTTCATAAATTGTAGAATTATCTATATTTGTTTTAAATAATTGACACTAAACGGCATGTCCTTGCCTATCCTAATTAAGGTTATCACTCATTGAAAAAATATAAAACAAAAAGCATGATAAAGAAAAAGAACATATATTAGTATTTTATTATTATTATTATTATTATTATT